CCCAATAACGATATTGGGGGTGGTTCAATAGCACCTCTCACTGGGGGTGGTCCAATTATCTTTACTCGACATCATTCAGAAAGAAATGAAGACGATGACGGGAAAATGCAAAAACTTGAAGACAAAATCAATGCTTTGATGACGGCTCAAGAAGTTAAGAAGACGGGTATTCCATGTCCTTATCCGAGGGAATGGGATTCAATACCGTACCCGGCAAAATTCAATTTGATTAACTTCACACCGTTTGACGGGAAAAGCTCGCCTACTCAGCACTTGATTTATTTCAAGTCTCATTTGGGCATAATCTCTGGAAACGAGGCCTTAATGATCCGGTCATTCGTTGGCACCCTTCGTGGGCCCGCCTTCGATTGGTACCGACGTCTCAAGCCAGGAAGCATTAATTGCTGGGATGACATGGAAAGTTTGTTCCTCAACAATTTCTTCGATGATGACACCGAAGTGTCAATCGGAACCCTTTTGGATGAAAAGCAAAAAGACGGAGAGTCAGTCGACAATTTTGTCAAGCGCTTCCGTAACAAGGCAATGAATTGTAGAGATCCTGTTACAGAGGAGTTCATCCTACAAACATGCCACAATAATCTCTCTATAGATGTCCTGGAAGCCCTGGGGGGTCGTACCATCCAAAAATTGGAAAGATTTGAAAATGCGCGGTGAACAAGCTGAACATTTTCTTAAAAGAAAGAAAGCTGAGAGAAGCCGACCGACGACATCTGCAATCACTGGGAACGCGACTCCCGATCCGAGGTTTCAAAAGGAGTATTTTTTCGAAGATGATGAAGCTCCAGCCATCTTGAAATACCTCCTCGCCAACGACAAGATCGAGCTACCACCTATTAAAGATCAGGAGGGAGCTAAGAGGGTTACGGATCCAAACTACTGTGCGTACCACAGAAGGGTTCTTCATCCCACCGAGATTTGCTTCAGACTCACAAACAAAATCCAAGCCTTAATTGACTCTGGCGTCATAACGGCGAAATAAGCCAAGTAAAGACGACTCATACTCCATTGGGTACACGAGTATAAACTGTTTTCCCTAACTCCATGGGGTACACGAGTATAAATTGTTTCCCCTCACTCCAAAGAGTATACGAGTATAAACTGCTCCTCGATACTCCAATAGGTATATGAGTCTAAACTGTTTCCCACTCTTGACGGGAAGTTCCTGGAGAATTTTTTACATTCTTAAGGATAACCCGGTCATGTAACTCAGCATGATGTTAGACCCAGTTTCGCGAAGAACATTCTTAAGGATAACCCGGTCATGTAACTCAGCATGATGTTAGACCCAGTTTCGCGAAGAAAGCTGGGAGTGGATGGTTTGTGTAATGAAAGTTCCTAAAAGAATGTTATATATATAATTTTCTTAGGGATAACCCAATCATTACAAACAAAGTGATAAACACTACATCCTCACGGTGATTTCTGAATACTCTTTTGTTGAGATGAGATTCGATCACTTCTTTGGATCAGTCTTCCCTCTCAAACTCCCATTTAGTCAAACCTTTAAACGGTTAGGTCCAAAGCCAAAATCCCCTCTCGATTCCTTTAATGAACGAGAGGTCCACAAATTGAACGATCAAACCAAATTGAACGATCAAACCTTTAAACAGTTAGGATCGTTTCAAAACTCTCACTTGGTCAAAACCTTACTACAGTTAGGACCACAACCAAAATCCCCTCTCGATTCCTTCCATGAACGAGAGGTCCACTTTTAATTGAATAATCAAACCTTGTGACATTTAAGATTATTCAAACCAATCCAGATTCTCTAAGTGGAGATCCCACTTTGAGTTTCCTTTGCACCAGGAGATAGAATATAAAATTCTTCCTCTCCAATTCGGGGTTTATCTCTACCAACAAACAAGAGATCAGGAGATAGAATATAAAATTCTTCCTCTCCGATTTCGGGTTTATCTCTACCAACAAACAAGAGACCAGGAGATAGAATATAAAATTCTTCCTCTCCATCATTGGGTTCATCTCTACCAACAAAAAAGAGATCATATTACTCCAATAGGTACACGAGTCTAAACTGTTTCCCTACCTTCAACAGGAAGTTTCTGGAGAATATTAATCTGAATATTCTTAAGGATAACCTGGTGAGCTCTCAATGGATGTATTAATTCAGTGACAAAAGCTGAACCCACAAGAACAAGTACCAGCTTCGATTCAAGATCTCAACAACGGTGAAGCGATAAACGCAATGCCGGGAGAACATTAGCTATTCTACGAAGAATTGAATAGACTAAAAGAAGAAGAGATCAAGCGTTGAAGCCATTTACAAATCCTTCTACACGATCTACCCAACCAAGCATTGAAAGGATCATAAGTAAGACCTATCTTATCCAAAGCATCCCAGAACTCCTCTATAAAAGATTGAGTCTGGAATACTTTGGAGGGGGTATCTGTAGGCGTCAAAAAATGCTGAGAGATATCCAAACACAGCTCAAAAGGAAGTCATCCAAAATGTCAAAAAGAACACAAGTATAGACTGTCTCGCACGCGAGACAGTCTTTACTGTCTCGCACGCGAGACAGACTCTGACGGTTACTATTTCCGAGACAGCGTTTACTGTCTCGTGGGCCGAGACAGCAAACACTATCTCGCCCGCCGAGACAGCAAACACTATCTCGGCAGCCGAGACAACAAATGCTGTCTCACAAGCTTGTTTTCCGCCAACTGTTCCTAGGGGTTATAAATACCCCCCCGAAGGCTATTTTTAAAGGGGCTGATCATTTTGAGCACTTCAGAGCAGACAGAGCAGAGTTCTTGAGCTTCCGGCAATCCCTTGAGATTCGAGCTTTGACTTGATTTCAAGAAGAACGACTATCTTACTTTGATAAGATATCGTTTCAAATTCTCACTTCGATAAACGAAGGAAGAATCATTAAACCCCTCATGATTCAATTAGAATCTGTGATTTGGTGGTCCACGAGTCAAAGCGCTCCCGGCACAGGCAAAGATCCCACGCAAGCAGCGATCCAAACAACGATCCTGCGTTTGTTTCTCAAGAGTTGTAATTTTTCCTTTTGTTTTGTAAAAGGAGTCTTATAAAAAGGCTATCTCTTTTTTGAATTCGTTGTAATCGACCGAAGATATAATGAATTCCATGACAAAGTCAACTTTTGACGCAAACATCCTCTTGTGAAACTCTCTTCACATAAACAACACACTAAATTTTTCTTTAAAACACATAAACAAACATGCAAAACTTTATTTTAAACTTTTCTTGGTTTGATATAAATGTTGAGAACTAAGGGGTATATATAGGTTCTTAAAACAAAACCCCAAAACCAAAGAAAAATCACAAAATCTAATAAAATCCCTGAAAATTAGCAAAATTAGAAATAGTTGTTACAGTGTCGTTGGTCAATTAATACACTATTCAGTCGACTGATGAGCTGACTATTGGCTGATTCTGGGAAACTGATAAACATGAATATTATCTATATTTTGACTATGTTTCACCTACGGATTCATTGTTATTTGATGTGTTTCCTTGCATTTTGGCCATGTTAAGCTCCCTAGTTCTTGTTTACTGCTCTATTTTTATATTGTGTAGGAATTACTGGAGCTTAGCACGGATTCGAAGTCAAGAAGGAGTCAAGGAATGCAAGGAAAGTGGCTACACGGTCACCCAGTGTTCAACAACACAGGCGTGTTGATTACAGAAGAAAAGCCCAGAAAGCAGAGCGAAACAGAATTAAACACGGCATGGTCGTGTCGATCTGCACAGCCGTGTTGGATGACAGCAGTCAGTTATCATGCGATCTGGAGAAATATTTGAAGTTATCTTTCAACACGTTTTTCTCAGAATTAAAAGGGAGACGCCCTGAAGCACCTGACCAGAAACCAGAGGCTGGAGATCTTGATTTTTCTTTCTTCTTCTTCTCTTCTTCTCTCTAAAAACTCTTAGATTAGTTTTCTTTTGATTTGGAACCTGCTGTTTGTGGAGAATTGTGTGCAACTTCGACACTACGGTTTATCTTTCTGATCTATTTCAATTTCTAGTTTATGATTATGATCTTATATATTGTTATCATGTTTTCTATTTCAATTATGTGTGAGTAATTGTCTTATCTGGGATTGAACAAGGTTCGGCTGTGGTTATGAATTAATGAACTGATTGTTGTTGTTTTTGATCGTTCGATTTGCATTATTCAACTGCTAGATCTAATTGCCTAGGGTTAATTCAATTGGCCACTGATTTAATTCTTTTAGGATGTTGATTTGAACTGAAAGGTTAGATTGACGCCGGAAAATAGTAATTGAACAAGAATTAATTGATCACGAAAGTAGGTTAATTATTCTTGAGAACATGAGGGATTAACAAGAACTTAATGGGTTTAATTTGGTTTAACACTATGAAAATAGGTTGTTAGGCTGAATTAAGCATGACTTTTAGTCGTCGAAAGAGACTAATAGTTATCATAGGTTAGTCGTTTTTAATGCATTGAGAGATTCGATAACAATTGATTAATTTATTGATTCGAACCAGAGTTGAAACCGAAATTCAATCCTAGATCCTTTTAATTGAGTGAATTCGTCGTTGATACTAGCTAGCGTATTCGTTATTGATAATCAAAAATCATACTTTTTAACACAATTGGTTTAGATAGTTACAAAACAGTGAAAATCAGTAATTAACAACGAAGTCCCTGAGGATACGACCTTGCATCGCTACAACGATATCTGTGCACTTGCGGATTTGAGTGAACAAGTTTTTGGCGCCGTTGTCGGGGACTTCGGCATTGTTAATATTGACTTTTTCATTGTTTGACTAGACTAGACATTTTCTTTCATTTATTTTATTTTTATTTTTTTCGTTTGACTTGTTTTTTTAGTGCATGCACCCTTGTATGCCTAGATCCTTACGACTTGGAGAACCAATCGAGTGTGATCCCAAGATTGAAAGGACCTTGCGTCATATTAGGAAGAAGGCACGAGAAACAAAGGACAATTTAAAAAGTAAAAACACCATGGGAGACCAAGAAAACCAATGCAATCAAGACCGATCCTTGAAGGAGTTTGCATCACCAACCACCCATAGCTCCCAATCTAGCATCTTGAAGCCTAATGTTGCTGCCAACAATTTTGAACTCAAGCCTTCACTCCTCTCCATGGTTCAGCAAAACCAATTTGGAGGCACTCCAACCGAAGACCCAAACCTCCACATCTCAATCTTTCTGGAGTATTGTGACACCTTGAAGATGAATGGAGTGTCGGATGATGCAATCAAGCTAAGGTTGTTTCCCTTCTCACTAAGAGACAAGGCAAGGGCTTGGCTGCAATCACTTCCACCGGGCACCATCACTACATGGGACCAACTCTCAGAATCGTTCCTTGCTAAGTACTTCCCTCCGAGCAAAACAGCCCAATTGAGAAATCAGATAACAACCTTCACTCAAAAAGAAGGGGAGTCATTGTATGATGCATGGGAGAGGTACAAGGATCTTCTAAGGATGTGTCCACATCACGGGTTGGAGGATTGGCTCATAATTCACACTTTCTACAACGGTCTTCTCTACAACACAAGGATGACCGTGGATGCTGCAGCGGGTGGTGCATTGATGAACAAAAGTGTAGGAGATGCAAAACAACTCATAGAGGATATGGCGCAGAACCATTTCCAGTGGTCAGGTGAGTGCTCTTTACCCAAAAAGAGCGGGAGGTATGATGTAGATGCATTAGACCACATTGCTTCTAGAGTAGATGCTTTATTTCAAAAATTTGACAAGATGAGCATGAATTCAGTAGCATCTAACTCTACTAACTGTGAAATATGTGGTATCATTGGACATTCTGCTGTGGAATGTCAGATTGGAAACTCCCCTTCCTCTGATGCACCACTATCTGAACATGTTAATTACATGAATAATTTTAATCAGAAAGGGGATCCTTTTTCAAATATGTACAACCCGGGATGGAGAAATCATCCTAATTTATCCTACAAAAATCCATCACAGAACTCAAATCCTCACTCTAATTTTCGACCTCCTGGTTTTCAAGCTCCTAGACTCCCCTACCCCAGTCCCTAAAAGTCTAACCTAGAGAGCTTAATGGAGAATTTTGTGTCATCCCAGAATAAAAAAAATGAAGAATTTAGAAATCAGAATAAAATCATGAGTGATGCCATCAAAAACCTAACTTCTAAGGTTGACTCTTTAGCCACCCATAATAAAATGTTAGAGAATCAGATCACTCAACTAGCCCAGCAATTTAACTCTTCTTCCAGACCTTCTGGGATGTTTCCTGGGCAACCTGAAACTAACCCAAAGGGATCTATCAATGCCATCACACTTAGGAGTGGAAAAGAGCTGACCATAAGGATGTGGTTGATGAGAGTGAGAAGTTAGTGTCAAGTGAGAAAGAGCACAGTAGTGAGAAAGTTGAGAGATATGTAGCACCTGCACCTTATAAGCCTCCACTACCCTTCCCTCAAAGGCAAGTTAAAGCTAAGTTGGAAAAAAAAGTTTGGGAAATTCATAGAAATATTAAAAAAATTGCATATTAACATCCCATTTGTTGAAGCCATTTCCCAAATGCCATCCTATGCCAAATTCTTAAAGGAGATTCTATCAAATAAGAGGCGATTAGAGGAATATGAGACTGTAGCCTTGACCCAAGAGTGTAGTGACATCATACAAAATAAGCTACCACCTAAGCTTAAAGATCCTGGCTCATTTTCAATCCCTTGCACAATTGGTGATATGTCAATTAATCGTGCTCTATGTGATCTCGGTGCTAGTGTCAGTCTTATGCCATTGTCTATATGTAACAAGTTACAGATGGGAGACTTGAAGCCTACTACTATCTCCCTCCAATTACCAGATCGATCGGTTAAACGTCCGGTAGGTATATTAGAGGATGTACCCATCCAGGTTGGTAAATTCTTTATTCCAGTTGATTTTGTTATTCTTGAAATGGAGGAGGATTCTCAAATCCCCATTATATTGGGAAGACCTTTCCTTGCTACCGCTGGAGCGATAATTAATGTGAGGGTACCAGATGATGATGATCAGGAAATAACTTCCTATGTTACAATGCTTGATGAAAAGCCAACCTACACAAAAACCACCTACATCAAAGAACCTGATATAGTGGTCGAAATTGCAAGGGGGCTGAATGACCAGGTTGTGTTTGTAAACACAGCTGTGTCAAAAAGCAGCAGAAACAGCCCAGAACAGGTTTGTGAAGAGAAAACTACACCTGGGAAGATGCTGAATAATAATTCCACACGGCCATGGTGTGTCCGTAGACACAGTCGTGTCAAAAAGCAGCAGAAGAAGTCTAGAACCAGTCCATCTCCACCAGTTGAAGTGGAACATAAAGCACATTGGGCTATCAAGAGCATTCATTTAGATTTGAAAGAATCAGGGGAACAGAGAAAGCTTCAACCAAATGAACTTGATGAATTGAGATTGGATGCGTATGAGAATGCCAAGATTTACAAAGAAAGAACAATGAAGTGACATGATCAACATATCCTCCGTAAAGAGTTTACAGAAGGAGACTTGATACTTCTACTTAATTCCCGACTCAAGCTTTTTCCGGGCAAACTTTGTTCGAGGTGGTCTGGACCATTCCAAGTGTGCAAGATATACCCATTTGGGGCTGTCGAAGTATGGAGTGAAACCACGGGATCTTTCAAGGTCAATAGACAGTGATTAAAGCATTATTTCACAGGAACTCTGATCGAGAAGTTGGGTACTTTTACCCTTCCCGATTCATCATCATTGTGAGCATTGAAGGGGTCGAGCTCATGACCATAAACAAGCGCTTCTTGGGAGGCAACCCAAGTTTTTCTTTTATTTTATTTTTCCTTTTAGTTTTTTTAATTATTAGTTTTCATGACATGTAATCAAGTTTCCATGAACTGGTGTGTAGGTGAATGACAAAAGGAAAATAGGTAACAGAGAGTTCAAGGCTAAAGAGGACAAAAGAAAAAAATAGTGATTACACAGTTGACACGGCTAGGCCGTGTCCACCAACACACCCGTGTAGCAGTCGGGACAGTCTTCATCTCATTTCCAGAGTCTACCACACCCTGGGAAGGCGTCCACCACACCCGTGGCCCCAAAATCCCAGATTTCTTTTTGTCTGCCGTTGACCGATCAATTAACTCTTTGACCTAACCCATCAAACCCTACCCCTTCTTATAAAAACACCTGACATCCCAATTAAATTCCCCACCTCCCAAACACCCTATCAATCCCAATTACAATCCAAACCTCCCCAAAAAGCCATTAACTTCTCCTGACAACCCCACTAACTTCCCCACCTCCCCAAAATCCTACCAACTCTTGACAACACCACTAACTTCTCCCCTCCCCAAAAAGCCATTAATTTTCCCAAAGCCCAGTTCACATACTCCCCCATTGACCTTCCGTACCTCCCCCACTCATCATCCCACTGATTTTTCCCATTATAGTCATCCTTTCCACCTCTTCTCTAACCTAAAGCCAGGAATGCTTCCAACACAAAGACAACACGTCTGAAGTTTCGACGAGAGAAGCGTCGTCCCGCAACTCCAACGATCTCCGATTCAGCCTCATGGCTCCAAAACGCAGAAAAAACAATGACGCAACAACCTCCAACTCACCGACAGCATCGCAACACCGGTCTACAAGGGGTACCCCTACAACAACCGGCTCCACACACTACGCTCCACGGTGCATCCACATCTAGTGCATCTCCCAATTGGATCAACAGGTTCAACATGTTGGAGCGGGGGCGGCAATACTTGAAAGAGTCCGTCCACTCATTACGACAAGATATGGGCATAGAATTCCATGCCATTAACGTGCGTCTGGATAGTTTTGGCACTACACTAGGGACGATGAACCAGTTGATACAAGATTTGCACCACTTTTCTCTACCTCATCCTTCTGCACCTCCACCGCCACCTCAATGAGCGGTGAGTCCCTCTTATCCTCCTTTCAATTACTCAAACACATTGGGGACAATGTGCAATTCAAGCATGGAGGATTAGGTGTGTTGGGATGATGTTTCATGTATGCTTTAGTGTTTTTGAGTGCTTGTTTTCTGTGTTGGGAAGTTTCAAAAAGAAAAAGAAAAAAAAAGAAAAGAAAAAGAGTACCACTGTTTAAAAACTCTTCTAACACGTGCATCATTTATTTCACATGCCCCATTGTAAAAAAAAATCTTTTGTTTCATGTTTAGTTGGTTAGGATGTTATCTGTTCGTGTTCCACTTTGTCGATACTTAACTCTAAACGTTGGAGAGATAGGAATGGATTTTGGCTCAACCCATCTAATTAAAACCTAAGCTTCTTTGGTGACTTGGACTACTTTTTGGTTACTGGAGAAACACTCGGCCTTGTAAAAAAAAATCCTAAAGTCTGTTGCACCGAGTACCTGGCACCGCACCCTCAGAAGTATGGCTGTCACGTCAGTAGGTGTTAATTATGACGGGATTTTCAAAAAAAATTGAATAAATAAATAAAATGCAAAGAAACCGAGTGCTCCTTTGAGACCTTAAGCAGGAAGAGTATGACCCATTGTGATGAGATATGTGTCTATCACGAGGAGTTTTGGGCAATCAACTAAAAAATTTTAACTTTGTCATGTCATTTCTTTTTCCAACGTTTATGCGTTGAGTCACTTGCACTACTGTACGTGAACGCCTACAGATACATTTTCTTCAACTTTGAACTTGAAATAATATTTCTATTTTGACATTGGGTTGAGTGGAATAATGTTGCATGTGGACTTGAGAATAGTGGATACCTTTGTGCTTAATTTCTATTTTCTTTGAATCTGTACCCTCTCATGTGTGTGTTTCCATCTGTTTTGCTTGAGGACAAGCAATAGTTCAAGCATGGGGGAGTTGATAAACATGAATATTATCTATATTTCGACTATGTTTCACCTACGGATTCATTGTTATTTGATGTATTTCCTTGCATTTTGGCCATGTTAAGCTCCCTAGTTCTTGTTTACTGCTCTATTTATATATTGTGTAGGAATTACTGGAGCTTAGCGCGGATTCGGAGTCAAGAAGGAGTCAAGGAATGCATGAAAAGAGACTACACGGTCACCCAGTGTTCAACAACACAGGCGTGTTGATTACAGAAGAAAAGCCCAGAAAGCAGAGCGAAACAGAATTAAACACGGCATGGTCGTGTCGATCTGCACAGCCGTGTTGGATGACAGCAGTCAGTTATCATGCGATCTGGAGCAATATTTGAAGTTATCTTTCAACACGTTTTTCCTAGAATTAAAAGGGAGACGCCCTGAAGCACCTGACCAGAAACCAGAGGCTGGAGATCTTGATTTTTCTTTCTTCTTCTTCTCTTCTTCTCTCTAAAAACTCTTAGATTAGTTTTCTTTTGATTTGGAACCTGCTGTTTGTGGAGAATTGTGTGCAACTTCAACACTACGGTTTATCTTTCTGATCTATCTTAATTTTCAGTTTATGATTATGATCTTATATATTGTTATTATGTTTTCTATTTCAATTATGTGTGAGTAATTGTCTTATCTAGGATTGAACTAGGTTCGGCCATGGTTATGAATTAATGAACTGATTGTTGTTGTTATTGATTGTTCGATTTGCATTATTTAGTTACTAGTATCTAATTGCCTAGGGTTAATTCAATTGGCCACTGATTTAATTCTTTTAGGATGTTGATTTGAACTGAAAGGTTAGATTAACGCCGGAAAATAGTAATTGAACAAGAATTAATTGATCACGAAAGTAGGTTAATTATTCTTGAGAACATGAGGGATTAACAAGAACTTAATGGGTTTAATTTGGTTTAACACTATGAAAATAGGTTGTTAGGCTGAATTAAGCACGACTTTTAGTCGTCGAAAGAGACTAATAGTTATCATAGGTTAGTCGTTCTTAATGCATTGAGAGATTCGATAACAATTGATTAATTTATTGATTCGAACCAGAGTTGAAACCGAAGTTCAATCCTAGATCCTTTTAATTGAGTGAATTCGTCGTTGATACTAGCTAGCGTATTCGTTATTGATAATCAAAAATCATACTTTTTAACACAATTGGTTTA